TACAGTTCAAAACACAAATGTCAGCTTATTTTTATTAATCTTCCTACACGCTCATTTCCTAAGTGACTAATGATTCTACTTCTGGTCGGAATGACGAAGACGTTTTCAAGTATTTTAGTAAAGAAAGAGCTCTGAGACCGAGGCAAAACCATTTGACTCCACCATACAGCTTGTGTTGCCTGTAGTGCTGCTCTAAAGGCCTCACAAGTGATGATGACTTTCTGATTTCAACGGCCACAACTTTAGTATTTCTAGCCATACAGATGCTTAGTGCTTCTAGAGATCCAGATGTTGCTATAAGTTGAGACAGTTACAACCTCATCTCTTCACTCATTGCCTCTCTGCCCTTCCCCCCTTCTAAGTCTTTCACGCTCTTGTGATGTCAGGAGAGCCTCGAATCTCTTCCACCATCTTCCCAGGTCTTCCATGGTTTCCCCTCCCTCTCCATACGCACTGAGGGCTTCACGATTTCTTAAGTGTCAACTTCTTTCTCAGTGATTCTTCAATCGGCTTGTCCAAGTCCAAATTTATTATATGTGTCATAGGTACATGAATTTTAGATGTTCTATTTTTCTTTTGAAAACTTTTATTCTGTTTTGATTTGTAGCATTTGTATTGCTTTCTTCAGTATTATGAATTTGTGCTTGAACCTGGCCTTTCCTCTCATCACTGCCCATTGTTTTTAATGCTATGGCTTATTCGTTGAGGTTTGTGTAGATGTAACAGTCTTATTAAATAAGAAACACAGAGCCAAATGCAAAAAGCCCAAGAGGTCAGAGCAGTAGCTGAGAGCTGATACTAAAAACCCTTTCTTACCCTTCACTGCTGCTGCTGTCCTTTCCCTCAGAAAGAGGCCTACTTCCTGTGTATCTGTCTTTTTATTGACTTTCTGTTCTGCCTTCTCATTGGTTGTAAACCCAACCACATGACCTCCTTGACACTGCCTGTCTATACAGACCTCCAGGTCTTCTATGGTTGGTATTGAGATTAAAGGTGTGTGTCTCCATGCTGGCTGTATCCTTGAACACACAGAGATCTGCCTGTCATGTGATCTGGATTAAAGGTGTGTGCCACCACTGCCCAGCTTCTGCTATGGCTTGCTATTAGCTCTGACCCCCCAGGCAACTTTATTTATTAACATACAAATAAAATCACATTTCAGTACAAAAAAATATCACCATAGGTTTGTACTATCTTTTCATAGTGCTTTATTTTCTTCCAGAGTCATTTATTGCCTAATTACTACTTGCATTGGATTTCTTAGAATTTTTATTCCCAATGTCCCATGAAATTATGGATCATCACTCCTAATTAGTCTTCCTTTAAGATTTTTTTTTCCAATAATTTTGAAGGTTGCCCTCAGAAAGTTTCCCAGTTACTTCTTCCTAATAAAGATGTTATGAGTAGAATTTAGGGCCCCAGTCTGTAATGTTCTGGAGTCCAACCCAGAAGTCCCATAGGCACCCGAATTCTACAATACTGTGGGTGTTCCCCCTTCCTTTCAAAAGGAGGGACATCTCATCCTTGCCTTTGTTTTCAAGCAATGAACTACTCATTCCCAACCTCAGGTGGACACTACTTACTATCTATCTATCTATCTATCTATCTATCTATCTATCTATCTTCTCCTTCAAGGGCTCTCTGCCTTCTTTTCATACATTTTTTTTGTGTGTGCGTGATAATTTCTTCCCAGAAATATGAGGTCTCAGTGCCATCCAACCAGGAAGAGAGAATGTGTGTGTTCAGCTCTCTGAGACCTCAACTTTACTGGTCAAATTTCTGTTATCTTCCTAGCTCCTCTCCCTCTTGTGGCCAGAAGACTTCAGGCTATCCGTCCACTTCAGTCTGCTTTCTTCTGGTTCTTCATTCTCTCCACAGGGTCCACATGGCCTTGTGTGATTTTACCATTCGTCTTTTCTCAGGGGATCTTTACTTTTCTTCTTCCTGCATAACGTTTGATAACCTTTCCAATTTTCTCCTCATTCCATGAAGTGATGAATAATCTTACAAATGCACATGCATAGATGAATTTGGGGAGATAGACCTTAGTAAGAAAAAGAATGAAATTGAGTGGAGGATATTTGCAGTCTTCAGTGGCATCGATTGACTGACCATATCCTACAACTACAAATGAAAGCATGCAGATTTATATCCACAGACATAAAGTGTGTAGAATGCTTCTTTTCCTTAGAGTTACTAGACTCATCATGTATATTAGTGAATTCCGAGTAACTAAAGATAAGAAGAACTAAAGAAGTTCAAAAAAATTAACAATCAGTTTGAGGAGTTGTGGCTATTACATCTGGAAACATGAAAAAATTCACTGGAAATTTTTTCAATTCTTGCCCAGTAGGTAGAAGTGGGAAATGGGTCTTATGGGTAGTGATTGTAAGGAGACTGATTTAGAGTATATTTCTCTCCTCTTTTTTTAAAAGAGTTGGTCAAAATAGGTTGCTGAAATGATCTTGAGTTCTCTACGAATGAACATACTGAAGAAAATAGTCGACTGATACTGAACTTAGTTGCTGAAGTAAAGTGAAAAGACCATGTCAGTCAAGGCAGGCGCTGGTTGTCCATCCTAACTGCCCTCCTGAACTAGTCTAAGGAAGCAGAAGGCAAGTCATCCCTTAAACAAATGATGAAAAGTTTTAAAAAAAAGGTAGTATTTTATTTATTTTAAACAGTTCTGAACTTCAAGGAAGAAAAAATAACAACAGAAGTTTGTTGTTTCCCTGGTTCTAACATTATGCCTTCCCCAGAAGATTAAAAATCTATTCGGAAGATAAAACAGAGCATAACATGTAAAGCACTTAGATGAGAATTTAACAGCTAAATCAGAATGAAGACCATGAGGTGGGATTTTCAAAATTGGCAGAAAACAAGTTCAGAAGTCACAAAGAAACACTACAGACATCTGGGTCATATAGAGAAATTAGGACTGCAATTTGGTCTTGTAGTGGCCACTAAGCTGACTCACAGAGTGCATACAAGCTTCAATAGGTTCCCATAGATTAGCCTTCCATAATCATCTCTGAGATAACCTCAGTTATGTATGCATGTATTTATATGTGTGTGTGTTAATGCCAAAGCATGTAAGCCATTTGTGGAGATTTGCATCTATGCATAGAAAGGAGTTTTCATAGTGGACATATGAAAGCAAAACTCCCAGGCTAACCCCTTAAGCTTGCTCTTTGGAAAACAGCAAGTCTCAGACAGTTACATCTCTTCAGCTGGTTTTGTTTAGCCGCAGTGTGTGTCTGGCAGGGGCATCCTTTCACAATTCGTCAGTCATAATGTGGCCCAAAGATGAACCTCTGTTTATCTCTTCTGGTAATGTCTGTGATTTACTCAGAGATTCTTCCTAGGTGTGGTGGGACATACCTAACGTGCTAGCATTCAGGATGGGAAGGCGGGGGTTCAGGAACAGCCTAGGATACACAGTGAGACTTTGTCTCAAAACAAAACAAACAATAAAAATGCAACAAAAACAAAACAGAGACTCTACAGTTTCCAAGTGTCCAGTACAGAAGAAACAAACGCTTCTTCTGTGCTTTACCTAGCACTATTAGGAATGCCGTAAAACCCCAATTCTCCATCTAGATTCAAGGTTCATGCTTTAATGTAATTAACATCAATTTATATATTGTAAGTAGCCTCTAGTCTGGATTCTTAAGGCAAGAAAATAAAACTAAATGCCACTGACTTCCTTGGTGAAGGCAGGAGAGTTCAGACAGAGTCAAATCTAATAGGAGATTTTACACACATTTCACTTTAAGGGGACTGGGTATGTAGTATGAAATGGAGATGCTTCTATGACACCAAGTTAAAGCAGAGGATGCCATGTCTGAACCTGAATACAGATGTTGCATTCCTGGTTCTGTCCTGGCAGTAAATCTCTGAGTCTTTTTGTCTTTTTTTTATATGTAAAATAGGCCCAGGCCCATCAATAATGTTCAGTCATAAGTTTGCTTGCAAAAATAAAAAATAGAGGTGAGAGCTCAGTGAATGGTGTATGACATGTATGGAAATATCCACCATCTGTGAAGAACCATGCTAGGCTATTCCTGTCAGAAACAGTGGTTCCCAACAGCATCACTATTTTTCCGTATACACACGTATTACAACTGGCTTTTCTTTAGTTAATTCTTAAAAAGATCTAAATAGATTTGAACAAATGAGCCTTTGGGAAGGGAAATTAGGGTTCTGTGTGGGTGTTTGCATGTGTTTTGGTCATAGTAAACATTTTAGAACAACTAATTTATTTTCTATTTACCCTTGGCTAGAGTTTCTAAACGTACACAAATTCTCAATTATTTCTAACCAATTCAGAGTTTGGGGTTTTTTTTTCTTCTTTTTTCTTATTCTTCTTCTTCTCCTTTTTAAAAATTTTATCCCAGAGCAATCTTGGCTAATCTGTTCCCAGAATGCTTTGTTCTTCTCTATTCTCTGAGCTGCCTCTGGGGGTTAAATGAGAGCTGCAGATCTTTGTTGGTGGTAGGCTTTGGTTCTACAGAAACCCCCTAATCCCCTGTTTACCACAACACGAGTCTATTGCCATAGAAATGATAGCTGAGATCCCACAGTCCACACCACTGACTTCACAGCAGGGCCTGGTAAGACGAGAAGCCAAGCTAGCAGAGGAACAGAATTCACTAGAATAGTAGGGACTCTGTTGACTTGAAAGAAAGGAGGAATTGTCCTTGTCCACATTAAAACAAAAATGCATGAGTGAGCTACGTCTTCGGGTATGCTGTAGTTTATTTTCTGTTTAATACTGCCTGACTACAAGTAGTAATTTGGAATCGTATGCCATGGGATAAGTTTGCTTGCAAAAAAAGGTCAGCACTTTCCCTTCATGGCATTTGTTTCTTATTGAAATAAGAAACAAATTGATTCTAATGAGTCGTGCACAGTTGACGTCTAAGATCTCCTTTCTCACGATGCATTGTTTTGTTTGTGTTGTTCTCTGTGTGTCCGTTTTGTCCCGGTCCTATTAACAGAAGACAGTGAACCTGAGCAGGACACTAAAGGTATTTCCCCCCTTATTTCTGCCTTGTCGCCTCTTTTTACATGCACAGTGTATTTCAGTTGCTTATTTTCCTGACCTAAAGTGCTATTATTTTGTCAAGAATTGACAACTGTCCTGTGGGAAGAAGAAGCCGTAGCCTTAAATAGTATACCCGAGGAAGGGCTGCTTCCCTATAGACTGGGGTTATGAACCAGTCACATCGCTTAGGAGAACATGACTCCAGAGAAGTATTGGAATCATGCAGTCCAAATTCTAAAATCGCAACATGAAATAAAATGAAAAGAATGGGCAAGAGAATGAACCCACACAGGTCAGAGCAGAAGTTTATTTGGGGGTGGGAGGTAGATGTGTTAAAATTTTGGAGAACTGTTAAAACCGACATAGGTGTTTGGTTACCAACCTTTCAATTCGATGAGGAGTTTAATGCATTCTCTAAGTCAATAAAAATAAAGTGGTTTTATTTTCATTGACATGGAAATGTACAGTTCATGAACTATATTCAGGAAGAAAAAGCAGCTGGAAATGAAATTTGTCTGGGAAACTGCTTGTATACAACAAGTCTCCCATCATGAGAAGTGCCTGTCTCCCAGTGAGGCTAGGCTTGGCGCTCTTCTCACCCAAACTCTGATCATCTCAGCATACAAACCACATGTCCTCAGGTCACACAGTTTGGTTCTGGGGATTTATCTTAGGCTGTTCTTGTTTAAAACAACGTCTCCTCATTTTACAGACACAAATATAATCGATTAAGTACCCTTTGCCTCAAATGCTTGGCATCAGAAGTGTTTCAGGTTTCAGAGTTTTTCAGACTCTGGACTGTTTGCTCAGACTTGAGCAGCTGGGCATTCTAAATCTGAAGATCTGAATTCGATCTAGCATGCTTCAAAATGGAAACTTGTTGAGAGTCGTTGGCACTCCAAAAGTTTTCGATTTTAAAATTTCAGATGAGGGACATTGTATTAGCTATTCATCTCACTGCCATGACAAGATAACTGACCGAAGCAGCCTTAAGTAGGAGAGGGTTCACTTGCCTAGAGATCCAGGGGATGCAAATCATCTCCGCAGGGAAGACATCAGGGCTGCTGTACTCCATCTGTAGCTGCAAAGGTGTGAGATGAGAGCCCCTCACTTCATGGTGGATCAGGAAGCAGAGAGCTTGAACGAGCACCACAAAATGCAGCCAGTCTTCAAGATCTGCCCCCAGTGACCTAGTTCTGTTAGCTAACCTGCATGTCCTTAAGAGTCCAGACCCTGGGCCCGAGAGATGGCTCAGTGGTTAAGAGCATGCTTGCTTTTACAGAGGACCCAACTTTCATTCGTATTGGGAGGTTCATGACTGCCTCTAGCTCCAGCACCAGGGGCTCTGACATCCTTTTCTGGACTCCTCAGGCACCTGCACTCATAGGAGCACATCCTATACACATACCCACACATGTACACATAACTAAAATAACAAAATACATCTTCAAAAGAAGAAGAATCCCAAAGCTCCCATAGCAGTATTAGCAGTTGCAGACAAAGGGTTCGATCATGTGAACACATGGAGGACATTTAGATTTCAACCATAAGAGGTGTTTAATCCGTATTTGAAATGTTTTCCTTTTTCTAGAAACTAGGTTGTTTACAACACACATCAAGTAAAAGCATCCCCCCTGGTACTCTGGGTCAGTTTTCAGTCGTCTCCCTCTTCCCTTTACTCCTGCTAGCCACGGGTTGTTTGAAATCTTAAAGCAAAACAAAACAAACAAACAAACAAACAAAAAGCATCTTCAAGGGAGGGTAGGAAATAATACAGAAGGGAAAGAGTAAGAGAAAATAAAATTCATGAGATCTCACAATATCCTTTGAAAGAACCCTCAGAAATAAAAACAGCCCAAACTTGAGAAATCCTCTTGAACTGCCCTCTACCCAAGAAGGGGGTTACACTCTAACCGCTAGAGCATCTGTTATTCCTGGACTTGGTCTAGGTCCCCTGTTCCCTGAGTTTTCCATGGCTTTACATGAACAATTTCAGACCGTACGATGACCTTATCTCCGGAATACATACCACCCTTTAAAAGGACAACCATAGGGCTGACTATGGATCTGAAGGTAGTTTGAAAAACGGAGGTGGCAGGTGCTCAGGGTGAGGCCAGAAGGACTATAGCTGTGTTTGTTATAAACAACGTGGAAATTGCTGGCCCCTTCAGCACAGTTTTGATGTCCGGTTTCCAACCTTCAGATAGGTCTGCAAATTTGCCCAAGAGATATAAAGCCCAAAGCATGTGACTAGTTCCCTAAGAGAAAACCAGGGGTTAAATATTGCCTATGCCTGTTTTTCATGGAGCTGGTGAATAATAACATACTTGCCCACAGGGACGTGAATAAGAAAGAGAGAATAGTGAGTTGGATGGTGATAAATAAGATTATCAGTAGCAAACGGAATGGTATAATGTCAGAATACTTACAAAGTTTCCCCAAAATTATTAAATAATTTCAAACTTCTGTTCAGCAGTTTATTTGTTTATATAACAAAACATATTTTCTGACATAAAAAAAACTACAAAATGAAGACATTTGACATGCATTTTATTGGCTAAGAAACAGACCACATTGTGCTTTGTACTGATGACCTAGAACGCATTTCAGCTTGTGGCTACCCACTAAGGCGATGGGATTTGCTATCGAACTATATCCAAGTTCATTATCGCAGGGGATGAAGTTAGTCTGACTTTTATTGTTGATTGCAGCTGCTAGGATTGTTGTCAATGGCTGTTAAGTGGTTGGAATTTCTCTCAGCCCATCTTCACCTTTCACATTTAGAACTGGAAAAAAATGGGTAAAAACATGGGAGCTTCACTGCTGATAAAGCTGAATTCAAAAACAAAGCTCTCTGGTCCAACTAACAAGGAGACTCACCTAACTTCTGGTTTTCATTCTTACCTTCCCAACCTTTCACATCTCACTTCTTAATGTTTGGGTAGAGAAGTCCTGATCTGGTAAGCTTTCAACCGCATAGCAAGCTCTTCTTTCCTTCGTTTAGGTACGGTACCCAAGAGAATGGTGGTCCAGCCGGGCTGAGATGCACATATTATAGAGAACTTCATTTGCCTGGTCTCACCAGAAAAGTCACTCACTCATTCACCTGCTCATTCACTCACTCATCTACTCACTCACTCATTTAATAAATATTAATTGATTGCGTACCCTGTCCCAGGGCACATCTGGAGATGGACAGAGACCAACATGTACATGAGTCAGCCTGCAGTAATGAACAAAACAGAGCCAGACATTGCTATGTTTCCATCTCACGGAGAGGGGCAATCAAAATACAAATAAAGGGACCCACAGGTGTCAGTGGTGCTAAGTATATGATGAAACATAAACAGAGTGAGGGGGCATGAAGGACAGTATGATAGCAGGACATCTCAGTGCAAACCAAAAGACATGAGAACGGCATTTAGAAGCTCCTTTGGGAGTAGAGGGAAAGGGAAGGGAAGAATTGAAGCTGTCTGTCAATACTGCAAAGGGAGAGAACCCAGGAGTGTGGGATGGACCCGCTTCACTGTAACCACCGGTCACTTTCTTCTCTCAGCACACTGCACTGAACGATGAAGCCCACTTTGGAGAAAGAAAATAACTTTATTAGCAGTTTTACATTCATGGAGCTACTACCTATGTGGCCAACAGTACCCATGACATGTACCCAAATGGAGCCATAGGAAGTTGGGGATGAGGCAGTATAGGGAATCAATTAAATTCAAAATCATGATGAACTGTCAAGAGTGGCTGGTCTAGTCACTCTCTCACTTTATGCCTAGCTGTGTTGTGCAATGTGGATCATCAAGGGTTTTGCAATGAGCCTAAATGACAATCCACATTATGCATTAGCAGCCAAAGAAAAAGAAAAGCTGTGAATCAGAACACAAATACACCCACCCTGGTTACTAAATTTCCAAGAAGAATTCCAAGTTCCCCAATTAAAAACATTTGCTTCTATAAATCAAAACAGTAGAAAGAATCTGGATTCCCTATTTCTCCATTTTTTTTTATTGTCCTAATCTCCATCCAAAAGGCCCTCATTTCAAATCCAAGGGCACGGTCAAGTCATTAGAGCACTTTTCTAGTATGAATTAGACCAAAATGATCCAACTCCAGGTCTCAAGCATCTCACTGTTTTCAGTGCTCAGAGGCCGTGGGCACCATGTGGTACTGATTACAGTGACTCAACTCAAAAACTGCAGTGCCAATCCCTGCATGCACTGTCCCAGCCACATGTGACAAACAGGATCAGATGTGTGGCCTGGCCTAGGTCTCAATTACTATCACCAGAGAACAAGAAGAGTATGTAGATGCCCCCTGCTAGGATGCCTCTCAGCCTAGAGCTGGCCATCAAAAGCACACGGCCTGTGAAGTAGGATTAAGTTCGGCAAACAAGAATCCAAAAAGAGCACTTGGGTGATATTGTCCTTAAACCTCCCTCAGCCTGTAACACATCACTTTCCTCCTGCTACTTATTGATCGAGGCAACTAAATAATCTACCATTTTAAATTTTCTGCATTTTGGATTTGACAGACATGAACTCCAGGGCATTGTTTACTCTGATTTTTGTTGTATATTTAATTAGACTCCAGGACTTTCTAAAGCCAGGATATTGTTGTTTTTGTTATTATTATTATTTTTAGACATCATCTCATGTGGTCCAGGATGGCCTCAAACTCCCCTGTAGCTGAGGATGACTTTGGACTCCAAATCCTCCTGCCTCCACCTCCCCACTGCCGGGATTACAGACATGTGCTATTACAGCATCTGGTTTTTATGGTGCTGAGGACTGAACCCAGGGCTTTGTATAGCCTAGGCAATCACTCTACCAATTGAACTACATCTCTAGCCCTCAATTTTGGTTTTAAGAGGCAGGTTCAACTGCATGCTAAACATTCAACACATTTTTTGAAACTTTTTTTTCTGAACCACTGTTGTTTTTGAAGATGACACTTTCCCATTCTCCTCCTGGCTTTTGCGTACAACATTTACATATTTAAAATAGGCCATCAGAGATTTTGCAATCAGCCCAAATGATGTTATAAATAATGCATGTCTTAGAGTCTTCAATATCAAAAGATAGGAAGCCAAGCTACTTCAATTTTGCACTGAAGACCCAGTTGTCAAGAAATATCACATTTTTATACCTTTGAATTATGTAACCTTATAAAGAGTGTATCGAAAGTCAGAAATACTCCTGCCGAGCTCTAGCCTTGCTATGATTGTTCTGTGTGTTTCCTGCCGTGTCCACGCAAACTCCATGGATTTTGGTGAACTAGAAGAATGAAGTTTCAAAGTGCTGTGCTAACTGGGGTTTAGAATCCCTGTCATGCTCTGGGCTCATGCCCTAGAAAACAGCAGAAGAGAGCATAAAATATGTTGACAATATAATAGGAAAACAAAAAGATTTCATAATAGTTTAAAAGAACATTGGATTTGACATCAGAAGACCTGAGACCAAGCTTATTACCATTCCTGTTCTTACTGAGGAAATAAATAAAATTAATGGGGATTCGGTTTATAAAGAAGAGCAGAAATCTCGTCAATCTTGTAAACTGTGCTCTTGAGTTCATTCTGAGTTTCCACCTCTTTCTTTAATTCAAGATAAAACAGCTAAATCTGAAGAACTGATTTTTTTTTTAAATCGGCAAAGATTGTAACCTTAAGGAATGCAAATGGCTAATTCTCCTCCTCACATTTATCTAAAATATCCCTTTTTTTTTTCTCCAGTATATCATCCAACTCTCTGAAATGTGTGATATATTTGGGTTTATTCTCCCTACTATGCTATGATAGAGTTGAGGGTAAAAAACATTAATCATTTCTTATAATCCACTAAAATCGTGTCCTGTGTTCATTTTCATTCCTGAATGCCCTCTGGGCACTTAATCCAGTAGTGAACAAAACAGGCTAAGACAATCTAATGTGGGAACTGAGGAATAGATAAGTAGGAACTGACTAAAGGAAATATCAGATAACAGTGAGTGTGTAAAGATCATACAATAGAATGACAAAGATGTGTTGGATGACTACGGTCTAAGAAAATGTCCTTTAAAATGAGACCCGAGTTATACATATAAGGAACCCGTCACATGAAGACATGAGCGTGAATGTTCTAAGCTGAGAAATAACAAATACAAACTTCTATGTTGTAAATAAGCTCAGTGTGGCCTGGGGTGGTGAGAAAAGCAAGATCATAGACCAAAGAGCCTGGAGGCCAAGCCCAGCAAGACTGAAGGGTTGATCACACTCAGGGGCATACCATGTGACTACAGTTTTGAAAGTCCTATCTTGCTTAGCCATTTCATAAGGAAAAATCTCTCATGCTCTTTGTCTTTCTAACAGTTTTTGCAAGAAATCCTGCGTGCTCCTGAGTCCCACAATGTCACCTTTGGTTCCTTTGTAACCCTACGCTGCACAGCAATAGGCATCCCTGTCCCCACCATCAGCTGGATTGAAAACGGAAATGCTGGTGAGTGCCTTGTGCTTGGGATTATTTGGGGAAGACCCACTGGTGATGAATTTCCAGACATAGCATGTACCTGTAGTGTGTGGTGATTTCAATGAGAACAGCTCCCATAGCCTCACATGGTTGACTACTTGATCCCTACTTGGAGGAACTGTTTGAGAAGAATTAGGAGGTATGGCTTTTTGAGAAAGTGTGTCACTGGGGGCAGGCTTTGGGGTTTCAAAAGGCTATTCCCTCTGTCACTCTCTCTCTCTCTCTCTGCTTCCAACTTGTGAATCAAGATGTAAGTTCAGCTATTCCTATCCATGCTTTTGCTCCACCATCATGGACTCTACCTCTCTGAAACTATAAGCCCCAAGTTAAATGTTATCTTTCATAAACTGCCTTTGTCATAGCATTTTTTATCACAGCAATAGAAAAGTAACTATAGCCGGGGCGGTGGTGGCGCACGCCTTTAATCCCAGCACTCGGGAGGCAGAGCCAGGCGGATCTCTGTGAGTTCGAGGCCAGCCTGGGCTACCAAGTGAGTCCCAGGAAAGGCGCAAAGCTACACAGAGAAACCCCTGTCTCGAAAAACCAAAAAAAAAAAAAAAAAAAAAGAAAAGTAACTATGACATAATGTTATTTCTATCTATGTCTATATACTTGTACCAGTATTTGAAGCTATTTTCTGTTCCAGAAACCACTGGTGTTAAACCCTGGGAGTTTGTGTTTTTCCCTGTATCGTGCAAAAAGCAGAATACTTCCTTTGTTTTTTTTTTTTTTTTTTTTTTGCATAAAAGAGAAATGCTTACAAGTCCTTCCCACAACTGAAATAATTTTCATAAAATGTACCAGGAAAAGACCAGTTTCACTGGTGGAGATTACTTTAATGGAAAGTAATCCAGAATTATAACCCATCTATACCAGTTCAATATATTTTTCTGCATTTTTTTTTTTTTTTTTTTTTGGTTTTTCGAGACAGGGTTTCTCTGTGTAGCTTTGCGCCTTTCCTGGAACTCACTTGGTAGTCCAGGCTGGCCTTGAACTCACAGAGATCCGCCTGCCTCTGCCTCCCGCGGAGGTGCTGGGATTAAAGGCGTGTGCCACCACCGCCCGGCGTTTTTCTGCATTTTTAATAGTTATAATAATAGCTAATGTGATTACATGATTAATTGAGCCAGGCCCTCTTCTAAGCACTTTATGTACACGAATTTACTCATTCATTTTACAAACCCATGTTGAGCATCTGAATATCAAGTACTAGTCTAGGCCCCGTGGAAACAGCAGCAAGCAAAATGGGAGACCTTCCCTGATGTCAAAGAGCTTCCATTCTGGTGAGAAAGGACAGAGAATAAAATCAGAGAAAGAATGTATACTGTGTGTGGACTTTGTCAACTATGACAAAAAGTAATAAACATAAAGCCGGGAATGAGACACAAAGTCGGTCCTTAGAAGAAAGATTCCAGTTTGAATAGAGTGGTTGAGTTTAACGGAGACAAAGACAACTGGGCAGAGGTCTGGGTATGATGACAGGGGAGGCTATGTGGATTCATGCTGGAACATTACTAGATGAAGTCTCTAAGATGAGGGTGTAGACATGGGTCTGTTGGAGGAGCATCAAGGAGGTTAGTGTGAGTACAGATGAGTGAATGTATAGATAAGGTGTGCAGTGGCCACCATGAGTCAGAAAGGCCCACAGAGGTCCCTGAAGCAACTTCCGCTTCCCTTTGTCTGACATGAGACTCAGTTGCAAGGCTGCTTCTATTGTCTATTGACCCGTGGGTTTGCTTCATTGTGCCTGGCTCTCTTGTGTGTCCAGTTATCTTTGAGCAACCACTATTCACTGTATTAGAAAGAAGATGTCGAATTTGAGGGCTGGAGGGTGGTACTTTCCTCTGGAAATAATTCTTGCTCCATTCTGTCAGGATCTAAGGACTACCTCTAATCTTGGACCACTTTAATTTTGAAGCTCCTTGGATACACTCAGTGATTATTGCATGGATGTAATACTTCACATGGACTATTTCACTTACAGCTCACACTAACATGATCCTGATAACTAGCACTTTGAAACATTTTCTTTGTTGTATCTAATTATTGTCTATATTTTATGATTGTTACATTTTAATTTCTCTTCTCACTCCTTAAAGACAACCAAAAGAAAATTTGTACTTTCTGAAGTTGGGAAGTGTCTCAGGGGAAGTATAATACTCTAAATTTTTTACCTGTTAAACTTTTTTCTAGAATTTAAATTTCTTTTGAGTATAAAGGTTCATATATAATACCTAGTTTATGGTATCTAGAAAGGGAAATTAATCAGGACTATTATTGTCATATATTTTAAACATTGCCTGTTGTCTATTTGTGTTTGGTGTAAATATACTTCTTGTTTTATCTTAGTTTGCTTTCTGTTGCTGTGATAAAAATGCTGTGACCAATAGCAACTTGAGAAAGAAAGGTTTTATTTAAGCTGACAGCTTGTAGTCCATCATGACAGGAAGGCAGGAACTCAAGCAGAAGTCATGAAGGAAATGCTGCTTACTTGCTTACTCTCCATGGCTTGCTCAGTCTGTTTTCTTATACACCCCTGGACTACCTGCCTAGGGATGGTAACACCCACAGTAGGCTGGTCCCTTCCATATCAACTATTAATCAAGAAAATGTCCCCACAGACTTGCCTGTAGGCCAATATGATAAAGGCAACTCTTCAGTTGAGGTTCACTCCTCCCAGATGCTTATGTCAATTTGACAAAACAAAAGACAAACCTAAGTAGCACAGTTTTGAGATTGTGATTATGAGGTAAAGAAACATATTTTAATTGCTTTGGTGTAGATGCAATTGAAGTCAATATAATTCCTCTTCATCAATTGTATCAATTACTAGAGAGCATAGCATTTCCATAGTGATGGTACCCTTTTGTGGGTACCATCCCTTCACTCCCTACAGCACCACTTTTTTGTTTCACTGTGCTGTTTCATCCTGCTCTATTTTCTGTTCTGGATTATTGTATCTATTTTCTAAACTGGGAGCAGCCTGTTCTTTCAGTGAGCTATCAAGATCATGTTCCAAGGTCAATGTTAAGCCAGCCTTATGGAATTGCCTGGCAAAAGCTTGCGTATTTTTCTTTGGTACAGGGCCTGAAGGGAAGAGGGTACAATGCAAATCTCTAAAACTGAAACACTTACCCTGCTTACCCTTTAAAGATAGCTTCTCTCTCCTCTACATTCTTTCTACTCAGACTCCCAGTCAACAGATTCCTCTCTGTGATGGATAATAGTCGGAGTCAACTCGACTAGATTTAGCATCCCTCAGGAGAGTAAAGAAACATCAGAATATTAGGATAACTAATGTTGAATAACTAAGGATGTTACGCAAAAGTGCTCATGTGACGCACGATGGCTAGTCACGTTAACCTCCCAACATGGTAATAAGCCTATAACTACAGAAGATGAGACTGTTCCCCATCTCCCATGCAAACTAAAACACTGGACAGCCCAGAGACACAAGAGTAGAAGAAAGTCAAGCAGTGTTCCTCAACTTGATGAAGATACATCTTCTTTCTTCCCATGGAAATGTTATTTTTTCATGGAAACTTGTTAGTCAGATAAACCTTGGGCATGACAGATTTGTTTATTTTCTTTTACTATATTGAATATAGTAATTTGATGGGGATAAAGAATAGTTTACTATTTTAAAAAATGATTGCTTTTTTCTTTTATTTTTTTTGAGATGGGCTTTCCTCTGTGTAGCCCTGGCTGTCCTGGAATTCACTATGTAGACCAGGCTGGCCTAGAGCTCACTGAGATCTGCCTGCTTTTGCTGCCCAAGTGCTAGGGTTAATGGCATGTGCCACCATGCCTGGGAGCTTACTGTTTTAAAAAAGAAAGTCTTTGTATGTTCTAGAACCATATTTATTGAAAGTTATTCTAATAAGAACTGTTATATAAACATTTAACTAAAAAATTAGATAAACTATCTTTCTTGCTTTGTCCAGTACACATGATTCCTAAAAATTTATAAAAGTTGACATAGTTTTGTTAAAAGAATTTTGTAAAAAAAAAGATAGAACATCTATTTTGAAGATTGTGTTTTTAAATATTCTTATAGATAACCATATTTCACCCAGATTTTTAAAGGCACATGATTTCGGTTTCGAGTATGTGAACTTTGGAGTGTTCAGGTGAAGTTATGATATTACCCAACTATCTATGGCTATAGGTAGATTATCTCAAGATGGCATTGTTAATGGATTAATGATGCATACAAATGCTGTACAGATATTCATTATCTCAGGTGTTATTATATGATAGAACTTCCTCTTTTAACTGCCTCTTTTAAAAGTGTTTCTCTTAAAAATGTTTATTTTAGTTTTCATTCCATGTACATGTATGTGTGTGTGCTGCTTGTGGGTTTGTGTATGTGTGAGTGCAGGTGCCCATGGAGTTCAGAAAAGAGCATCAGATTCTCTGGAGCTGGAGTTACAGGCAACTGTATACTGCCTATTGTGCTGTGGGTGCTGAGATCCAAACTTGGGTCTTCTGCAAGAACACTCCATGCTTCAATCACTGAGTCATCTCTGCAGTTCCCAAATATTTCTCTATTATATTTTTCTGTTATATGTTTAAGGTATAAAGAATGATATTTTTATGCAATATGCTTGATGAAATAATTGCCACAGTCAAGCAAATGAACAGATCCATCTACCTCCTTACAAAAGTCACCACTATCAGAAAGACAGAATGTTCTAGCCAGAGAAGAGAATTCACTCTGGCTTCTTTAGTTAAGTGAATCTGAGTGACTTGGCAAAAACATCCTCACTATAAATTCCAGATATAATCACCTGAGTTAAGTCCAGCCAGCCCCTGCTTAACGTGGGGATAATGGTTCTAGGCCCTCCATGGATAGCAAAAACCTTGGGTGCTCAAGTCCCTTATGTCCGACGGTGTACTATTTGTGCATATTCTTCCCTATACTTTAAATCGTCTCTTGGTACAAATGCTATGGAAATAACTATTACACAATTTTATTTAGGGAATAATGACAGGTTTAAAAAAATCTCATACATGTTCAATATAAACATACTTTTGAAATATTTTCAATACAAAGTTAGTCAGATCCATACAGGCTACAGATAAACTTGCAAGGCCACTGTACCAGTAGTCTTTGAGCATACCTTGGTAAAAGGTCATGACAATAATCTGAACTCATCCCTTTGATCTTTTAAAAACCCAGCAAGGGGGCAAAATGATCCAAATAGAGGGCAGAGGGTTGCTTTTATTTTTAGATCATCAAAAATACTAAACTGTTAGTCGGGGTGAGCGATGAAGAAAGAAAAACAGACTCAAACTATGACTAACAAGGCCTGCTGTGCGTGAGTCACTGAGGGAGTCAAGTGAGGCCTCTGGACACAGGAGGAAAAGCGCTTAGAAGCCACATCATCCTTGAGCTTTGGATGGTCTGCTCTCTCCACTGAACTATTTCAGCACTTGGAGGGAGCCCTCTGGAGAGGTCAGGCAGCTTGAAGAGCTCTTCTGCTTTCTGGGAGGCATGTTTTCACTGACCTCGTGACCTTGGGGAAGTGTTGAGGAATGACGTGCTTAGGTGTGAACAGGAAACACGTTGGCAGCCTAGGCAGCATTGGGGGCTGTTCGGTTCTCAGATGCTGCGTTGCCCTGCACAGCTTTTCTTCTCGAAGGAGGGAACCAGCTTGGCAAAGAAGGAAAGCAGCAGTTCCCCCTGCTTCACTTCTATAAACTGGAAAGGGATGATCCTCGTAAACAAGACAGAAAATGCAAAACACACCAAGCTCGCCAACTGACCGTAGAAGTTCAGACTTCAGCCTGTCTCGCATTGCTGTTTTGAAGTAAAATCAGGGAGAGTTTGTGTTTAAAGATATCCAGCTGCTTAGACCTAACACAGAAACTTATATCTACAAGATGTTGGTCTTCTGAGAAATATGATAACAAAGAATTCAGCAGAAATTCCTGAATGCATACTTCATGTGTGTGGAGAGGGGCAGGGAAGAGAGGCTCAGAGTGTCAATTGTCTAGGCTTCTCCAGTTCTGGAATTACAAGCACACATCAGCTCTTTGGGGTTTTTTAGTTGTTTTGTTTTGTTTTGTTTTTGTTGTTGTTGTTGTTGTTGTTGTTGTTGGTTGGTGGTGGTGGTGGTGGTGGTGGTGGTGTGTGTGTGTGTGTGTGTGTGTGTGTGTGAATTCTGGAGATCAAACTCAGGTTCTTATGCTACTAAGCCAAGCTCTTTGCTGGTTGAGCTCTTATGCTAGTATGGATGCATACCTCTTAAAGATATTTCTCTCTGCTTCTTCAATTTCTCTTAGAGACCAGGCTACTTACATGAGGTAATACCATAATGTTTGATCTGACCTGGAAAGTTTTCCCAGTGATTGAGACTAGTAATGAGGGTAGAGGATGGCAAGACAGAGGAGATACTTAGACAACATTTCATTACCTAATTGCTATGGACAATGTCCAGTGCTGGAGACAGTTAGCCATCAGGTAGTTAAGAAGAACACTCGTCATAGACTGAAGAAGAGTGTAGCTGAAAAACACATGGTGTGAGGACAGTTTGGATCCCCAGAACCCACATAAAAGTTGGAAGTGAAAGCTTGCATCCGTAATCCCAGAGCCACTACAGGGAGGTGGGAGGCAGAGATGGACAGTCTCCAAAGCTGCTGTATACAGTAGGCATGAGACACTGTTTCAAACAATGTAGAAAGCAAGGCTAGACATCCAAAGTTGTTCTCTGACCTCCACACATGCACTGTGGCACCCCATGTACACCCTTGCCCATGTACACATACACACATCACAGAGAGAGAGAGAGAGAGAGAGAGAGAGAGAGAGAGAGAGAGAGAGAGGAGGTGGGGAGAGAAGAAGAAGAAGAAGAAGAAGAAGAAGAAGAAGAAGAAGAAGAAGAAGAAGAAGAGAGAGGAGGAGGAGGAGGAGGAGGAGGAGGAGGAGGAGGAGGAGGAGGAGGAGGAGGGAGGAGGAGGGGGGGGGGGGGAGGGGGAGGGGGAGGGGGAGAGGGAAGGGGAGGTGGAGGAGGAAGAGAAGGAGATTTAAAAAGTAAAGAAAGCTGATCACATCTTAGACCTTCCCCGTGGGCCCGCCCCCCCCCCACCAGTCTGAGAGAGCCAGCATGTGAAATAGTAAGAGAACTCTTTTCAAATTTTCCATTCTTCATCATATTCACACTGAGGAACTTATTCCATGGAAGCCAAGCTCATGTCACCCTAGGCCCAACATCTAGTCCTCCAAAATAACATTGACTAATTCTTTAATTTTCCTCAATCATTTGAATTTCCTTCAAGCTGGTATTGTTTTCCCCTCACCTAAATAGTAGTGATGAATGAATAATTTATTGAAAATGTGTCACAGTGCTTAAGAAAACAGAAGAAAGTATTGCCATTTCAAAATAAGCCATGGTCTTTACAGTGGCATTTGTTGGTTGATTTGTTAAGGTTGTAGAGTTGGCTTTCTGTTGCTGTGACAAATGCCCAAGAAACACAACATAGCAAGGAAGACGGACTCATCTTGGCTCATGGTTTCAGAGGTCTGAGGTTATAGTCCTCTGGCCTCCTCTCTTGGATGTGATTCAACATATGGATGTCTGACTGTCAGAGTGTGTGGACGAGGCTGCTCTCCTCAGCTGTGAAGTAGAGAGGAAAGAGGGGGCAGGGGTCCAACATCCCCTTCAAGGCCACATGCTTGATGATGCAGCTTCTTCTAGGTTCTACCTCCTAACGCTCCTGTAGCTCCCTAACCTTACCAAGACTTCCAACTAGCCCTTTCATGCATGAGGCTTTGAAAACATTCAAGATTCAAGCTATTGTGCTTGCTTGATGACGACTCATCTGCTTTCTCTTCAAGGACTAGAGAACATAATGTTTACAAACCATGGGCTTTGGTGTCAGACCAACAAGGGTACAGTTCTAACTCTCAGCTGAATAGAACACGTGGACAGTCTTGGGTCAGTGGAATGACAGTTTAGTAGGTAAAGGTGCCTGCCAGTTCAGTCCTTGAGTTCAATGACCTGAGTTCAATCCTTGAGAGCAACACCATGGAAAGAGAGAGCCAACTCACCCTCTTACCCATGCCATGACATGAGTGTGCCCACATACTTACACAAAAATAAATAAATGAAATATAATTAAAAATTAAAAAAGAAAATGTAGGCAATCTTAACTCTATAGTTGGAATGATGACTAGTGAATAAGCATTTGTATAATTAATCTTGTCAATTACATGCTAATATATTGATAATCTGGCTCTTTAAGGACATTTGACTTCTGGTTTAAGGGTCCAGCATAGTTTGTATGAGTGTCTTGGACCCACAAACAACTTTTCTTACTACACATCTATCAATATGATGTCCATTTATAGAGAAGTGATCTAATATTATGAAGTCTAAACCTCTTAATCTTGTCCGCTCCTATCTGCAGAACAGGATAAATTCTGGAGCACCTACAAAGAGTATCATTGGAGCTTGGATTAGTTATCTGTCACTATCTCACAAACCAGCTCAAAGCTGAGTGAATTAAAACAATAACTGTTAGTGGTCATAATCTGTGGAGTTAACTGAATGGTTTCGCTGATTTGAGCCAGGACTGACAAACACTGGGCTAGTCTACTCTTATGACTGGCAGCTGGGGTGGGTCCTGGTTAGTCCAGAATAGCTTTCCTCATATGTTTGGTGGTTTGGGGCTTTTACTGGGAAAAAGATGGACCATGTTTCTTTCTTCCTCCAGTGTCCTAAGGTTTCTATTGCTGTGAAGAGACACCATGACTACAGCAACTCTTATAAAGGAAAATATTTAATTGGGGCTGGCTTACAGTTCAGAGGTTCAGTCCATTATCATCATGGTAGGGAGCACGGAGGAGTGCATGCAGACATGGTGCTGGAGAAGGAGCCAAGAGTTCTACATCTTGATTGGCAGGCAGCAGGAAGTGGAAGAGACACTGGGCTTGTCTTGAGTATCTGAAGCCTCAAAAAGTCTAGGGACAGGGAACTTGTGTCTATGTTTGCTAATGCCTGTTGATCATAACTGAAATGCTTTATCCTTCCAGACTACCAATGTGGTGTATGAGGAAAGGGTAATCTAGTTTTACCTTTTATTTCTCTCATACCCATCAGGTTTCCTCAGGGTCCATTCAAGAGAGTGTGAAAGACCGGGTGATTGACTCAAGACTCCAGCTCTTTATCACCAAGCCGGGACTCTACACGTGCATCGCCACCAATAAACATGGGGAGAAATTCAGTACGGCCAAGGCTGCAGCCACTGTCAGCATAGTAGGTAGGTGCTGCTTGTTTGCACTGCTCCAGGAAAGGGCCAGCTGGCACTCCACAACATCTGGACTAGAGATAGCCTCTTTTACTACCCCAGTCCCTTTGAGGCTAATTCCTTGTTCATTTTGACACTCTTGAGTGATGGAGACATAGATTGTAACTTTGTTGTATCAAAAATTAAATCTCAACATTCTCGTTCAAATGAGGGATATCAATTTATAGGACCTTATTTTTTCTCTCTTTCTTTCCTTTTTTTCTATTTTCCTTCCCTCTGCCCATCTCCTCCCTGTCCCTATCCACAAGTCCTCCCTCCCTCCCTCTGCTTCTGTCTCCCTCCTTTCCTCTGCCCCATCCCTCCCTTGCCCCCCTTCTCCCTTCTGAGTTCCTTCCTTCCTTTCCTCCCTTCTTCCTTTTCACACCTCCTCCCCCACCCTCATCTGGATTAAGCAAACTTCCCAAGGCTCTCAGAAAGGAGAGAGATATTTAACATGGCTGAACCAATTTCCACATGGCTGTGTGTGTGTGTGTGTATGTGTGTGTGTGTGTGTGTGTGTATGTGTGTGTGTGTGTGTGTGTGTGTTTCCACTTCCTGTGTTTATCTATGTGACAGCAGGGCTTGCAGGTATGTTCATGGGAAACAGCTGACACATGGGTTTCTAGGCTATCTACATTGTGTTATGAAGGGTTATTTTTAAAAGTTAAATATCCAAAAGGCTTCTAGGCACATTTGTGGAATTCCTAGAGGTGGAAATAATCCTTGTATCAGGAAATGCCAGGCGTGTTAGACCCATAGCAGTCCTACTGTTCAAGGACCAGTCGAGAGGTGGTTGGCCTGACTTGTGAGGCCGGCACTGGAGGACTCAGGACCAGCTCCTGGAGCCTGCTGTTTCTTATTACAGAGTATTCCTTTGATCTTCCCTGATGGAGAACTTCCCAATAGTGCCTACGATTTTTTAATCTAAAATGAGTAGAGGCCAAAGAGTGTAAGTAGAAGTAGACAAAGCCGGACCTTGGGGACATGTCCACAAAAGCAAGAAATAGACTGCCCCTACCATCTCCTTAGAGGATCTGTCTGTCTACAGGTCTTTGGTCACTGCATCAGTTCAAGGATACCATTTTATCCAGGCAATGACAAGATGCCAAAAAGCGAATTCAATTCAATATGCTAAAGAGAATAATAAAATGATTACCACTTACACTGCACTCTGCTGTTTATAACGGGCTTTATATGCATTGATTAAATATGATGGTTGTGGCCCATTCTGTGGAGCATAATAGAAACAAAAACTGATTAACAATGGATCTTGCTTTCCAAGGACCAGCATCGAGAAGGGAAGCTTGTCAGCCATGGGTATGCTGGCAAAGACTCTGTTCTGTCCCACAAATACTGACTGCACAACAGGAAAGCAAGAGAGCTCAAAAGGAGAGAGACCATTTGGATGGACATGGCTATGAGATGGAGAGGTTGAAGTGTGTTCAGAAGGCAACTAGTCATTGTGCTGGAGACCAGGAGGAGGTAGAAAGTAGCAAGACAGATTTGAAATGTTAAGTGCAGCCAGCTTATGAAGAGCCTGCATTGGGTTAATTCATTCCTCCATAAATGGGAAGTCATTTCTTCATTGTAGAGGAGGAAGCGAATGCTATGGCCAGGTACACCCTTCAGCAAATCAGCACGTAGGAAGTGACATGAGGCTGGCGAGCATGCCCAGCCGGAGACTCCTCTGTGAGCCTAGAATACAGTAGCAATGATAGGCACTGAGAAAAGAGGAGGGACTATCAGACTAAAATTGAGACTTGCAAGTGCTCGAATGTGCCACTGAAGTGGGAGGATTAGTTAATAAATGCTTGGGATTCCAGTATGTCACGTGGGAAGGAAGAGCACGTTTACACAGGGGTATTGCAGGCGTATAAGCTGACAGGATTCAGTTCAGCTTGTTCTTCCACTAGACAGAGATAAACACTAGTGTTGCCAGTCTTCAGAGAGTCTCATTTACACAAGATCTTGGTTTTGCAGTGATAATTCCTTGCTAGAGTTTCCTCTTCTTCCATCTCTCCCCTAGATGGCAAAGAAGAAAGGGATTCACACTTCAGGGGTGTCTTCCAATATCTTGGATCTAGACAAGTCCAAAGCTGGAGAACTTGTGATTTCCTCTCTTAGCTGCGTTAGAACCCAAACAACTTCCCTGGAATGACTTGCTGCCTTTGGGAACCTTCTAGAGAGTCCTAGCTCTTGGCAGCACAGCCATGTCCATCATCAAATCCCCATACAGACTCTGCTCTGTAGCATTAACAGTGAGGACACCTTGTGTATCTTCACTGAGACCTGAAGGCAGGCTTGATGACTCTACTCAGCTGCCTGTGTCCTCCATGGGCCTGAAACCACCTCTGCATCTCTTGCAAGGTGTGTAAAATCAAAGCGCAATTTAGACTTCTTCACTCAATCTGTTGCCCATGCACCCATGTCATGCTGTTCCGATGACAGGAGTGCTGTCACCCCATGGCAGGACTTTAGAATTTCAAATGCAAAGTTGAAAAAACCCTCTCTGTCTGTCTGTCTGTCTGTCTGTCTTTCTCTCTCAGCTTTTTTTCTTAATGACTATTTGGTATATAGAGATTAGGGTCCACCATCTACAAAAATGTATATTCAAATTCTTCACCTCTTTACCTTCCTCTTGTCCTCAGCAGACCAGCTGGGAGGACCTCCCCAACCCCAGTGTGGTAATCTTTAATCTATAGCCTCTTCATCATAGACACCAAGATGATTATAGAGACAGCACTATGAGGGACAAGGAAAGAACCTAGAAAAACAGTTATTGCTACCCCACCAAAAAAGCACATTCATCCCATGGCATGATCTTGCAGAAACTATGAAGGCTACTGAGCACAACTGGCACATGTATTACAGAGTAGAAGCATCTCTCTGTCCCTGTCCTAACCAGCAAGAACCAGATCCAATTCCACTAACAATGGAATGTACCAACAGAGAGATGCATAATCCTAACATGTAGTGATATCTTCTTTCAAAAAAGTAAACAATTATGATTATTTGTGTAGGGGTGGGGTGTGTGGGTGTGCACATGCCGTGGTATATGTAGAGGTCACAGGACAACTCTGTGGATCCAGTTCTATATTTCCATCTTCATGTGCATTCTGGAGCTGGAACTCAGATTGTCAGTGCAGCAAGCACTTTTACCCACTGAACCAACCACCTTGCCCTCTGAGTGGAATCTTCTTGTGGTACAGAACTCTGTAAGTTATGAGATAGTCAACAGAGAAGGCAATGTCCAGGGGTAAGGGATAGGGATAACCAGCAAGGAAAGACCAGAGAAAACCACAGCGGGACAGGGATGGGAGTGATGCCTAGCTTGGCAGGCAGCAGCAGAGAAGGGTTTTCAAACTGCTGTAGCAGCAGAGCTGAATGCAGATGACTGATGAACATCAGTCACCTCAGTAGGACCAATCAATGGCCAGCAAGACTGGTACCAGGGATGATGTCACTAGTCCACGGGTCTGACAATAAGGTTGTATGGAAGTCACTTTAGAGTTGGGAAGAACGGGTCCCTAGGAGTGAGACTTGAAACTATCCCGGAAAGTGTGCTCTGTAAGAGCTGGAAAAGGACCATCAAGGTGGAGCACACAGCAGCAGGAAGGGCTTCGTTTACAACCCCGTTAAGTCAAGCCCTTCCTGACTCCACACCTTCCTCTGAACTTCATGAGAAATGTCTGAATCTGTCTCTCTTCATGGCCATAATGTTGCCCAATGTTGGGGTTCAAGCAAAGAAATGTGAGTATAGAGAAAAAACAGAAAAGAAAAAAGAAAAAGACTTAGAAGGACTACAGTGGCCATGGCCAAAGAGAGCCATGCCCATCTGTTGGGGAAATCACTACATATCCTGTGCTGTCACCTGCCCTTGTTCCCAGCTCCTCATCTGCCCTCTGGTAGGTGTTACTGATTCTCTGACCTTCTCCCACTCTCCCTCAGGCAGTCCTAATGAGTATCCATAGTGTGGTTGACTAAGACCTCTCATTTACAGGGCTATATGGCATTTTCTCCTTAACTCTTCTTAACGGCTGGATGCCTCACAAAGACCTTTCTGGAATCCCAAAGAAACTACCTTCTAACTCTAGAGTTCTGCTTTGCTCAGTATTCCAGGGAGGGGAGGTCACTGTGATGAAAAAGAGATCTTTAGCACAACATTAATTCAGGGGATGGAGAGTGGATGTATTTCTAGCCAGGATGTCCATACTCTCCTCAGATGTCCAGGAGCTGAATGACACCTGCTCTCCAGATGGTCCTGACTCTGATGGCCTCTGGTGGCACTGCTAGAAGTGGGGCTTCAGTCAGACAGAGTGTCTCCTCTTGCTCTCCTGTCAGTGCCCCTCACCTCTGCTCCTGCCGCCTTCTATTTCAGCCTTGCCTTCCCCCATGCCCTGCATCGGTTCCCTGTCACAACTGTTGTTGCGCTTGGAAGCCTTGTCTCTGTTATTTACTCAGCAGCAGGAAAACGGGATGTGGAAAGACTGGTAACCCATTGTGTTTAGGGTTTTATCTCATGATATTTCTAGGGTTTGAAGGACAATGAAAAGAAAGATCAGCCTTCGCTTTCCGAGCAACCATCCATGTGTTGCCTAGACCCTCACCCGTTGTCTGAGAAATATGTTTATTTCTGGGACATTTAGGCCTGATAGTAGTCATTAAAAGGAGCCATAAAAGTTCCTGAGCCTCTCCCCATGAGCCAGGAAACTTAGCTCCCCTTCATCACAACCCCCAAAGGCTCAAGTTATGATTTAAACTCACAGGATGGCATGTATTTAGCAAGATGTCTTCTCTTTGTCACTAGAACCCTTGGCCCTGGGGTAGAGAACAAGACAGCCATGATCCTTGGAATGAGCACGGTCTTGATCAGCCAGAGACGATCAGAATAATCACAGAGATACACACAGCTGCATTTCCCATTTTCAGTGGCATTAGTAAGTCCTTGTTCTAGCTTCATTTCTGGTCATGTG